TTTATTTGAGGGATTGTTGGCCAAGGCACCTGGAGAGAGAAACTCCCTTCTTTTTTCGTAGTACCATGGAATATTTAACATCCAACTGAACAGGCAGATGGGAACTCTGTTTCGCATCTTACCCAAAGGACGGCACCCGCTCAGTACTGCATTGGAGTGCAGGCTTAGAAGATGCAATTCCAAGTCCCGATGTGGGGCTTGGACCCACAATCTTCTGACCCAGAGGAGAGAGTGCTACTCCTGACCAGGCTGAAGTATTACAAAAGATGAACAGAAACAGGAATAATGGTACAGTAAAATCTAGTTAGTTTTAAGGTGCTCAATTAGAAACTGTTTGATAACAACAACTTGCAGTTATATAGCGCTCCTCACGCAGGGAAGCATCCCAGATAACATGGGTTCACTTTAAAGCATGGTTGGAGTATAGACCCTGACAGTTACTTACCACCCAAATCCTAAATCAGTACTTAAAAAAAGCTGCCTGACGTACAGTAAGTGCATCGTACGGGAAGCAATAGAGGAGTCTGGATGACCGGAAGTCAGCCATTTTGCTTACTCACAGCCAGCAGCCTTTATAAGATCCCATTGAAGCAAATGTAGAAGTCCTAACAGGCGATTGCGTGCTTTTATAGAACTAGTTGGGATTTCATGCATATAACAGGGGCTCTATTATGACGGCAAATGCTACGAGAACAAAATGGCTATTGTACTGGGCTCTCCCCAAGTAATTTAAAGCTGGCCATCAAAGAAGCTATTTCATCGTGTGGAGTGATGTTTGACAGAAGCTGAACCAGTTCCTTTATTTAGTGAACCAAAGAATTGGGGAAAAGAGTAGCACCTTTTGTTTCAGATCCAAGCTGAGGTCCATACTCTCTCATATTTTTATAGAACAGGATAAAATTAAAATGTTGCTTAGTTTATATTTGTATTGTGTTGCAATGAACTGAATTTGGTTAATTGTCTATCTGCAACCTGCAGAAGTATGTGTAGAAACATCAACATACTTGATCTCCAAACTAGTGAGCTGTATGCACGTTTAAAAAAAGATCACTGCCCACATAAAATCCTACTCCCTCCCTTTCTTCTCCATTTCCCCCCTGCTCGGGTCCTGACCCAACTGTACAGCGCCTTGGGACGTCCTCCCGACGTGAAGGGCGCTCTATAAATGGAATCTTGTTGTTGTTGTACTTAAGAGAATGGTGAGCAGGAAAAAAAATACTGAAGAACAAACAAACAGCAACTCTGCAGTGCTTAAAATAGGATTCTGAGTTACAGAGAGGGCTTAAACATTTAAGGCTTAAAAGATTTTACAATCATCAGAGCAATAGTTTTCAGTTGCACAGCGTAGGGAGGAAGTAAACCTTTCTACACATTCTATAATTACTATAATAATATCAAAATCATTTTCGCTTCTTCATTCCTCCAACTTAGAGCATCATACCATACTAGGGCAGAAAATGGGAGATACATGACCAGTTTAATGTTGAAAGTCCTTTGAGTTAACATGAAGTGTTAGAACAATACCACAAAGATTCTGCAAATGCAAACAAGACAGGAAACTAGAAAAAGGAAACTAGAAAAATGTCAACCAAAAATACACACTAAAAAAACTCTTCGTTGCTATCAAAGTAGAAACAAAACTTGCTTTAACAACCTTTAACAACCTTCTTAAAACAGGAAATCTCGGTAAAGGATCAGTAAGATCACCTTTAACTAATGTACTTGAAACAGGAAACATTTGTCATGGACTCACATGACTTACTTAGTTTCTAAATTAACATTTCAAGCATTCTTTTATACCCACCATAGTTTACAATTATAATAATAGTTGCATTTGATATAACACCTTATCACGTCTTCAAGATATCTCAAAGCGCTTCACAGAATATAGAATATTGCAGCAGAGAAGGAGACGATTCGACCTATTGTGTCTGGACCGGCTGTTTGGAAGAGTTGCCCGATCAGTCCCACTCTCCTGCTCTTTCTACATACCCTTGCAAGTTTTTCTTTTTCAACTACCTAACCAATTCCCTTTTGAAACTTGTAATTTAATCAGTTTCCACTAGCCTTTCAGGCAGTGCATTCCAGACAGTAACAACACTGATATATATAAAAAAAACTTAAGAGTAATTTAATGGTCCCAGTTAAAATATAAAAACTTTTCCTATTCCACATCATCTTCTCACCTTACATGATCGACCATGGCACATTAATGTATCAAGATATATATGGGTTAGAGTAACTACTCCAGCTGTGACCTGACCAGAGAAATGTACACTTTAGCAGGAGTTCTCAGGTTGCCCTATAAATGCATGCCTGATATCTATAGGAATGCTAGTCAACAACAGCTTGTGTCAACACTGAAAATCTTTTCTGCATCTTTACTGGATATTTATAATAATATACTTTCTGTATCACAAAATAGTTTTTTTTTATTTCTCATTGTCAACTGTTGAAACCAGATGGCAATACAGCTCAACAACCAGTTTGCCTCATTTACTGCTTCCTTTGTGGCTTCAACAAGCTGCATTTACCTGCAACAGTTTCAGAGAAACAGCACAATAAGAGACCAGTGAGGTTGAGAGATATGGAGCTGGACAAGCTTTAGGTTCAATGAGATTAGCATAAATAGGTTGTGCTCACCTTTTGGAATACAAGTTTAAGATAGTGACTTGGGGATCCAAAAGAGAATATAAGGAGGATTTTTTCAAACAGAGGATAGCGAGCATGTGGATATCACTGACTGAAGCAGTGTGCGCCAGAGAGTTGTTGATTTGAGCGCATGTTGGAATAGTTTATGGTAAAGACTGACACTCCAGTGCAGTCCCGGTGGAGTGCTGAATTGTAGCTGAGGATAAGGATCTTGACTGAATTATTATTATTAGACGAGAGAACATCTCCATTTTGCAACCTGCACTTATTGGCTCATTTTTACAACCAACACCAAAAAATGCTAAAAATGAAGAGCATCAACATAATTGAAAGAATTCCATCAAGCAAGAGGAGGCAGCAAGGGTACCCAATAACATAACAGTCATAGATTGTAATCTAATGCCTTTTATAATAAGATGTTCTGAAGAATTCATCGATGTTAATGAACCAGGAAAGAATTCCGCAAAAGAGAAATTCAACAACTTAACAATACATTATTATACAACCAATAGTCTGTTGAGGTTTGTGCTGTATAATAACAAACAACTTAAAATCTGGTATTCATCTCGGGTACTTAACACCTGTGTTAGGTGAGCTCTGGGTACAGTATTCTGATGGCAGACATTAGGCAGTAAATGCCAATTAAACGGAATGATTAGAGCAAGAGCATTAAAAAAAGGGGAATGCCACCTTTGCTCCAAGGTATGGCGTAAATGCTCCTTTGCTGAAAGTGTCATTAGCTATTGATAACTAAATAACTAAATAATCTTCATGTTTACTTCCAGAAAATTTAACAGATGAGACATTTAGCACATGACGATATAAGGTATCAACAAGATACGCAGACAACCCATTCACCACAAGATAAGCAGGCTTCCTTTTTTTTTGCAAGTAAATGTGAATGACCAATGGGGGATTGTTGGCTAGGTCAGTGCGAGAAATTTGCTTTTTTTAAAAAAAAAACAATAGAATTGACATAGTACCCTTCATGTCGAGAGGACATCTCCAAGTGCTTCAGTACTGGATGGCACTCGAGCTGGCGGTGGGAGCTGAGGAGGGTGGGGTGGGGTCAGAGGAGGGTGGGGAATGCATATCTGACCCGTGCAGAAATGCATACATTGCTTAAGAGTATCCAAATCACACAGAGTTCTACATATGTTCACAGCATCACACATGGAAGTTTCCCTGTGCCACAGAAGGACAAACCCTTGTTTATCCCACATCCGTGCTATGACCCGTTCTGCCTTCCTCCACCTCCGCAACATCATCCGGCTCCGCCATTGTCTCACACCGCAGGCCTCTAAAATCCTCACACACTCATTCATAACATCGAGGCTTGACTGTGCAAACTCCTTGCTTGTCGGCCTCCCCAACTCCCCCCACCCCCCCATAGGCTACAGATCATCCAGAACTCTCCAGCCCTTGTCCTCTCCGCACCAGACTCTGTGAACCTATCATGCCGATCCTCACCCGACTCCACTGGTTTACCATTACACAGAGCATACAGTTCAAGATCTTGGTCCTCACCTTCAAAGCTCCCCCCTACCTCTGCGACCTCCGGACCTAACCTCTGCCATCCTGCCCGCTCCCTCCGCTCAACGGGCTCCGGCCTGCTTGACATCGCCTGCCTCGCCCACCCTACCATTGGCGGCCGGGCGGGCCTTCTGCCACTCTGCCCCTACCCTCTGAAACTCCACCCTACAGTCCCCTCTGCCTCGCCTCCTCCTTTGCTCGTTCAAGACCCATCTCAAGACCCTCCTCTTCAACTGTGCTTTTGATCACCTTGCTTCCCCCCCTGGCTTCCACCCTCCCCATCCCGACCCCAAGCTCGGATCCGAAGCACCTTGGGACATCCTCCCGATGTGAAAGGCGCTCTACAAATGTAATTTTGTTGCTGTTGTTGCTTACCCAAATTTAGAAGCCAGTTTTAAAATATCCAAGCCCAAGCCAAGTACAATTCCTTCCATTGGTTTCGACTTGTGATCAAATGCAAATGGGTACACGTAGTAATGTGGCTCAGCAGTTTACAAATGCAATTTTTTTTAAAACAAAAGGTTAATTCATAATTTCTAAATATTTGCAATGTGAAAATTATAAATAAGATAGAATTGTTTTATAAATTATAATCAGAGTAGATCTGCTTTTTGTTAAAAAATGCTTCTAAAATATTTAATTTTTGCAGTAAAACAATTTGCAGCGTTTACAATTTAACAAATCCATGCAGTTTCTAATCCTACATCTGGATACCAGGAGACCAGCAGCAACATTGTTGTTTAAAACAGGGCAGAAATTAATACTGTAATGATCACGTGGGACCCGCCTACCCACTGACGTTTCCTTCTGCTGTTAGAGGACAGCGTCAGTCAAAAGCAGATCCTGTCCTTTCTTCACTTATGCTGCAAAGGCAGCAAACTGAATCGACGACATATCTACACTGCTTTAGCTGCCTAGCAACTGAAAGGAAGAAACATATTTCCCCTTAATGTCATGCACAACAGAAGCATCAGTGCATGGATTGGACAATTTGCATCTACAGCTAACTGGAGTATAAAAGCTCAACGACCAAAAATACAGCTGAGGATCGCAGGACATTTGCTTAAAAGAGCTGATGAGTGGCTCTTCAATGTGGTGGTCACTGTGACAAGGAGCCGTCTGCAAGAAAACAAAAATTGACTGTGCTTTTGTTCCGTGTGTGCAATGGAAGTCCTGCAACACCAAGAAAGCAGATGAACAGATAAAAGTAAAAATTAAGCATAGGCTGAAATGTTCTGGATATGCGCATGTTCAGCAGCAGCCTCTTGCTGGTATGATGGCTAGCCAAACATGTTTGCAGCAGGCATATGCAGCTCTTCTCATAAATGGCCTGACAAAGGAAGGTATGTTCAAGCTTATTTATGCTTTTTTTTTTGCTTCAGATTTGCCTCAAGAATAAAAGAGCTAATGTTTATATGAAGCACTTTGCCTGGAGCAATATTGCAAAACTGTATTAATCATTTTGTGTATTACAGTCTAAAGAAAATGGATGCCAACAGCTTTAAAATACAGTATTTAATAAAAGCGTTAAAATAAATGATCATTTTACAAATTCCCTTTTTCACAGCTTCAAAACATCAGTGAAATAACTCCACTTTGATGCCACATGCTGTGAGCACTGAACCGTCAAAACATAAGACTAGACATCGAGAAGTTAAATTTCATTCGTTAAATAATGAAGATTTTTGCTTTGTGGTAGTATTAAGGTTAAATCTTATTCGTATAAGAACATTTTATTTGGCAATACTGCATCCACAGTGACACCGGACAATCAGTCTGGTTCAAAAGCTACTAAAACTAAAAGCATCCGGTGAAACCAAACTATTAGTTACATTTACATTCAAGATCATGCTACTTAGAGTTCAACAGAATGTTGAATGCTCAACAGAAATCCCTATCAGCTGAGCATCAATAGCTAAAGTGCGCATTTAAATTATAGCCACTGCTAAACTAGGTACATTCTTAAGTTTACGTTTTTTGGTATAAAGCATAGCTACAATACATGAGGCAGGCACTTATTTTTATATCCATATAAACCAAATCCCACCTAACATTTTATTCAGATGATTTATTGAGGTAGGATTTGACTCATCAGCACACTAGCAAAATGGAATTATTAAATTGTTTTAAATATTATAGCATTTGCAGAGCAATAGCCACGTTTATAACTAACACAATGTACATCTAAATAAAAACACTCGAACTTGGTCCCTAAATAGACTTTACAATTTAAGATAATTTGAAAGAGTCAAACCATAATAAAAATACCATATTAAATTGGTAGTAACAATTCGTAAACAAACAGCCCTTTTTTAAAAAAAAATTCAACTTTGTATGTATTAGGCGGAACGGTCGAATACATTGAGAATTCTACCAGGATATTGCTTGTGTATGTTTAGTACCACCACCTAGTGTCAATCAGTGAAATTGATTTTTTGTGAACATAAAAAATTCCTTTACCCTACTAGGAGCCGAATATAATGTTCCAAGAGTCATATAGTAAGAACGTTATATTATATTCAAACCACTATACTTCTAACACCTTCAATAATAAGTATAAATGTCTAACTACAAAGCTGCCAAAACTTAGAATTAAAATATTGTAAACTCAAGGTTGACCTCTATAAATGAGTAAAATAAGTAGAAAGAAAAATCCTGTGCAGAAACGTGGAACCAACATACTCAAAACTTTTGTTAATTTCATAATAATATTTACATTTGATCTACTGCCTTATCACGACGTTTAGACATCTCAAAGCGCTTCACAGAATATATTGTAATGTGGATTGACTGTATTTTGTAATTGCACAGAGCAGTGTCCCAGAAACAGTCGTGGATTGAGTGACCAAATTATTATTAGGATTTTTTTTAAAAAAGGGATTCGGACCTCCAGAAAGCCAATCGACTATCAACCAGGTTCGTATTTAGTGCTAGGTAAACAGAAGCGAGTGGAGTAAGGAAACTTGCCTAAGGTTTCAACCAGCCCAGGAATCGAACCCGGGTCCTCTACCAAAGCAAGTGCTCTAAACACAAGACTGTGAGACAGAAGTGAGACGCACGTAAATTTATTTATATTTTTCAACATAAATAATAATAATCCTTGCATTTGATATAACACTTTTCATGTCTTCTAGATGTCTCAAAACGCTTCACAGAATATACTGTAAAGTGAATTGACTATATTTATAAGTGAAATACAGCAGCCAATTGCGCACAGCAGTCGTCGATTGAAGTGACTAATTTTATTTATTTTTTTCTTGAGGGATTATTATCAAGCGTGTGGAGTAAGGAAACTTGCCCAAGATTTCAACTTGCCGAGAATCAAAACCAGGTCTCTGCTTGCGAGGCGCGTCCTCTAACCATTGAGCTACAGGACTCCATGTCCTGTTGCCTCACGTACAAAGGCCATACAGCACAACAAAGGCCATTTATCAAAACTAGTCTGCACTATTTTTACGCTTCACATGACCTTCCACCCCTCACACAGCCAGCCTTCTTCATTTTTACCTCATGTAGACATTGAATATCCTCTTCAACATTTGCCCCACTGCCAATTAAAATTGGTCATTCGCTTCATGGCTGTTGTTGGGACATAGCTGAGTGCAATGCTGTGTTAGCCTAAAAAACAGAATAACTATACGTGAAATCCTAAACTCCCTTCTAGATCTTCCAATGGCTCTTATATTTATGTCCCCTCGTTTTGGTCTTGCAGTATTCTAATAACAACATTTGATATAGCACCTTTTACTTCAGTGCATTCCTACCCATCCCTCCCTCCACACCATCGAACATGTCTCCTATTCCTCTCTCACCACCACTATAACCCGCATAAAACTGACAACCTGCTCCCTCAACCCCATCCCTACCCTCCTCCTTACCTCCCAGCTCCATCTCCTTGCCCCTCTACTCACAGACATCATAAACTCTCCCTGTCCACTAGTATCGTTCCCACCCGATTAAAAACAGCCGTCATCACTCCTATCCCCAAACGCACCCCCCCCACCTCCAGACCCATCTTTACTCTCAAACTACCACTCCATCTCCAACCTCCCTTTCCTCTCAAAGGTCCTGGAACAAGTTGTTGCTTCCCAGCTTCGCTCCTTCCTCTCCCACCAATGCCTTCACAACCCCTCCAATCGGGGTTCCGTGCTGCCCCTCAGCACAGAAACAGCCCTGGTCAAAGTGACAAATGACATTCTTTCCATCTGCGACCAGGGCTCCCTCTGCCTCCTCGACCTCTCTGCTGCCTTCGACACCGTCGACCACTCTATCGACATCCACCACCTCTCCTCTCACCTCAACCCTCACGTCGCTGTCCTTGACTGGTTCAGATCGTACCTCTCACACCGCCTCCACTTCCTGTAGCTCAGTGGTTAGAGCACTCGCTTTGCAAGCGAGAGACCTGAGTTCATTTCCAGGCAGGACGAAACCTTGGGCAAATTTCCTTACTCCACACGCCTAATAATAATCCCTCCAAAAACAATAATAAATTGGTCATTTTCAATCTACGACAGTTTGTGGGATATTGCTGCGCGCAATTCGCTGCCGCGTTCGCCCACAAATATACAGTCAATTCACTTTACAATATGTTCTGTGAAGCGCTTTGGGAAGTCCTCCCGACGTGAAAAGCGCTATATCAAATGCAAGGATTATTATTATTATTATTATTATCTCCACAAACGATTTCTCCTCTAGCCCCCGCACCATCTCATGTGGCAGGCCTCAGGGCTCTGTCCTTGATCCCTCTCCTCTTCAATATCTAGATGCTCCCTCTTGGTGATATTATCTGCACACATAGGGTCAACTTCCACATATATGTGGATGACACCCAACTGTACCTCTCTGCCTCCACCCTCGACTCCAGACCGCTGAGAGAATGTCTGTCAAGCATCAAGTCATGGATGAGAGCTAACTTTCTTCAGTTGAATGTCAACAAAACCGAGGCTCTCCTGATTGCCTCCTGTAAGTGCGTCCACCCTCAGGTACTGTCAGCATCACCATCCATGGTTGCACCCGCCACCTTGCCAAGCCAGCCTGGAACCTTGGGGTCTTGTTTGACCTTCAACTATCCTTTCTACCCCACATCTGTGACATGACCCGCTCTGCCTTCCCTCACCTCCACAACATCGCCCGGCTCTGCCACTGTCTCACTCCGCAGGCCGCCGAAACCCTCATATACGCCTTCATTACATTGAGGCTTGGCTATGCAAACTCCTTGCTTGTCGATCTCCCCAACTCCTCCCTCCACAGGCTGCAGATCATCCAGAATTCTGCAGTCCGTGACCTCTCCCGCACCAGACTCCGTGACCCTATCACCCCCATCCTCGCCAACTCCACTGGCTTCCCATCACACAGAGGAATACAGCTCAAGATCCTGCTTCACGTCCCCCACCTCGCTCGCCCCACTATTGGCGGGCAGGCCTTCTGCCACTCTGCCCCCACCCTCTAGAACTCCATTCCACAGTTCCTCCGCCTTGCCTCTCCCCTGCCTCCTTCAAGACCCTCCTCCTCGACCGTGCTTTCAATCTCCCTGCTTCCCCCTGCCCTCCCCGATCCCAACCCCCAGCTCGGGTCCGAAACACTGTCTGTCCAGCACCTTGGGACGTCCTCCCAACGTGAAAGGCGCTATACAAGTGTAATTTTATTGTTGTTGCATTCCCAGTTAAGAATTCAAAATCCTGAAGTTGGCCTTAAACCCTTGGCCTTCTGATTTAGAGGAGAATGTGATATCAACTGACACGTGGTCATGTTAAGTCGTGATTAGTAGTAAGTAATAAGTAGGGATCCAGTTGTTAGTCGATTGGCGAATTGTTTTTCTAGGGGTAATAATCCCTTCCAATAATTTGCTCACTCAATCCACGACTGTTTGTGGGACACTGCTGTGCACAATTGGCTGCTGTGTTTCTCCCACAATATATACAGTCAATTCACTTTATCGAAGACATGATAAAGCATTATATTAATGCAAGGATTATTGTTACGAAATGAAACAAAAAGTTTCTAATCAAATATTAAACCCATTTTCACACAACTTCTTAACCATGGATGTATGAAAAGTATCTTACTTAGATTTAGATCGTCCTCGTTGGTTAGACAATTGAAACCAACAGCAGCATCTGCTGTGACAGCAGGTCTTTTGCTTCACCTTCAAAACAGAACTCTCTAACTGGTATGAATTAATTTTCAATTACAGGTAACTGAGAAACCTATAAATAGAGTCCATACAGATAAATGAGGTACTCGACATTTATTCAAAGAAGCTTTTACTTCCAAGGAATACTGCTTGTCCAATTGAAAAGCACACCAGCATTGTGCTATTAAAAATAATACCTAAATAAGTATATCCAATTTTAAAATAAGCTAACTAGAGGAGAACACATCATAAATACTATGAATATTAAAGTAGAACATTTGAATAACCACTTCACAATGACCAATTTCAATCATATCAACAGCAAATTGAAAATCTACTGGAGCTCATGCTGTGGATTAGAGAAAGGAAGCAGATAATAAATCAGTGTAAGAATCTGAAACAGTTGATAATTCAAATGTTTCCACATAAAATGATTGAAATAAATATAAACCTATCCATTGAAGTGAACTGAATTCTCCTTTCATCTTCATCATTTTTAGATCTGTATTTGTTTTGATAATGAATAACGCAGGACTATATTGAAGTGGAAAAATGTTATGTTAGCAAATACAGTGGAAGATGAATTAGTAGACATATTTAAAATAGGTAAGAATACAAATGAATCGGAGCGTACATTTTGTCCGATTTATCCAGCGTCTGGAGTTAAACGGCATCTGGCTAAAACAGCTTCCACTGTATAGCATTTGTTATAGGCCCTTACGTTTGAATGCTTCAGTTTACGAGAAAGATCTGCACTTTAAGACCATAACTGTGTGTGATTTTTTTGCACCTTTCCTGAAAGTGAGAAAAAGCTTATAGCCTAAGGATATTCGGAAATTAAGTGCCAAGCAAAGGATACTTGCCTGAATACACTGCTGGAATGGGACATGTGACTCTTTCATCCAACATTTGTACACAAAAATGGATGCATCGTCTACTTGGCTGAGATGATAAAACAGAAACGGTCTGCAATAGACCAATAACCATCGCCTGTGGCTTGAACTTTGTTAAAAAACAAAGCACAAAATGCAGTGAGAGAAATCGAAGTGAAATGGTGTGCAAAAAAAGCAGAAGCAACATGAAGTAAAGGTAACAAATACAAGATAAGAGTATTAGACATTGCAAACAGCCCAGCTACAACATGCTTCAGTGGAGAAGGCGCTACTGTTGTCTGATGAAGATGACCTGGAATGTGAAACGGTCAATATTACGCACTCATATTATTGCACTATTCTGTGTTGTGCTTTTGTTTGCATTGTTTCTGTTCATTAACCAGCATGACTTGGTAACTAGCAAATCTTGGTCAAGAGAATCTGCCATTTCGGTTTCTCACACAGTGAGGGGGTTCAGAGCACCAAAAAGTACTACCAACCAGAGCATTATGAGAAATATTTGGAAAGAGAATGCTCAAGTAACCAAGACTCATTCTGTTATTAACTCCAGCACTGCCTTTTCTCCTCCAGACGTGACTGGATTGGGGGATGCATTGAGTGCCAACGGAACTCTATATAATGAAAAAAGAACAGGTTACAGCGGTGTTCATCAATATAAATATATGATTAATGAACCCAGCAAATGCAAGGGACAAAGTCCATTTTTAATTGTACTGATTGCTGCTGAACCTAGCCAAACTGAAGCACGACGTGCCATTAGACAAACCTGGGGAAATGAAAGCAATGCTCCCGGATTACGCATTTTGCATCTCTTTCTTCTAGGTTTTAGAAAGGATGATGGCAATGCCCAACAAGCCTTATTAGATGAAAGCAGACAGTACCATGACATTATTCAACAGGACTTTCTGGATACGTATTATAATCTAACAATTAAAACACTGATGGGCATGAACTGGGTTGCAACGTACTGCCCTCACGCCTCATATGTCATGAAGACTGATAGTGACATGTTTGTGAACACTGAATATTTAATAAGTAAACTACTAAAACCCGAACAGCTTCCACGTCACAACTATTTCACTGGCTACCTGATGCGTGGATATTCCCCGAATCGCAACAAGGACAGCAAATGGTACATGCCTCCGGAGCTCTATCCCAGTGAACGCTATCCAGTCTTCTGTTCAGGAACTGGTTATGTTTTCTCTGCTGACTTAGCTGAAAAGATTTTCCACGTCTCTTTGAGCATCAGACGCTTGCATTTAGAAGATGTCTATGTGGGAATCTGTCTTGCCAAACTGAGAATTGACCCTGTGCCACCACCCAATGAGTTCCTCTTCAATCACTGGCGAGTTTCTTACTCCAGCTGTAAATATAGCCACTTAATTACCTCCCATCAGTTCCAGCCCAGTGAACTAATCAAGTATTGGAATCATTTGCAGCAAAACAAGCACAATGCCTGTGCCAGCATGGCAAAAGATAAAGGCCACAAGGGCAATGGCAGGTATCGGAAGAAACTGCATTGGTGACAAAACTGAATCCAGCATATTCAAACCATAAATGTGCAACTGTATTGTAATGAATTAACCAAGCATGTACAAAGATTCTCTCTGTATGAAGCTACAGCATTCTAGTGCTTATGAAACCTTCTATAAGGTTAACTTTTTTGTAATAAAAAAATCATTTAAAAGTTAACCTCTTAGAAAGTCTCCAAGCAAATGGGATAATAAATGTTAAAGTTTAAATTGCTTCTGTTTTTAAGTTGACCAAATGTCTATGAAAGGAAACTAGTATATTTTAGGCAATGTAAAGCACACAACTTGATTTTACTATTTAAAGAATGTAACAATAGCAAACATAAAATAGAAAAATGGGGTCAAAGTTAGTTAAATGAAACAGTATAGTTTCCTGCTGATAACAGGAATCCAATTAACAAAAAAAGTTCAAAAATGACATCAAGAGACAAAAACTCAAACATTAAGTGACAGAAATGTTTTCTTGTTGGAGACATGAAACCGCCCCTCTCTATAAGATTTGATTTGTAGGCTGTATATGACACAAAGCACCAAAAATGAACAGAGAAACAAATACATTGTTTTACCCAATTCAAAAATTGATAGTTCACATTTTCAGGGGAAATTTTCCTTTTCTGCATTTTTGCTACTAAAAGATTATCCACAGAGAGAAATGAAAGTTACACTACAGATTATAAGAACATAAGAAACTCGAGACAAAAACAAGGTCCACCTAGTCGCCTTCCACATTCCTGGCGGTCGCATGCACATATGTCCCTAATTACTTATGTACCATATCCCATATGTTTTCCTAAAAGAAAACCTGTGTGTTTAATCTGTGCTTGGAGGACTCAACACTTTAACTGTGTTCCTAGGGAGCCTGTTGCACAAGTTTATTATTCGCTCACTGGAAGTGTTGCCATGGATTCTTTCTGAATTTAATCCTTCAATCGCATCTGTCATTTTGAAAAAATCGGTTTCCTGCCATTGTACATTTTAAAGGTTTCCTATTATTGTGAAAAGGACATTTAGCATTCTGTGCTCTGTTCCATTTAGCTGGGCATCTCCCCTCTCCCCCAATTACAGTATTTTGATATGGTGCCAACAAAGCTTTATTAGTGTAATCATTAAGTAATTTAGGATTCAAGTTACAGAACAGAAAGAAAGTAGGAGACTGAAAATCACTTTTCTTTGCAATGTTTTCATCTTGCTGACAGCGATGGTATTATTTTGTTTTGTACTAGAAGTTATGTAATGTAACAATATTGTTTTGCTCTTAAATAGTAAAATCTGAAAAAGAAACTAAAGGTAACGATTTAAAAATCGACTGATTTATTACTGAAAACTTGTGTTTGATGGACAATATTAAAGTAATTCTGGAATGCAATTGAAATGTCTTGCGTTATAAACTGAAAGAAATTTCTACATTAGATATCAAGCTGTTACACACTACTATGGATCTATTCTTGTGTTCTATTTATCCATTTCATTGTTCAAAACTCAAACATTTAATTGCTGTATAACTAACGGTTTTTCCCTGAATTTTCATAAATTCAAACATCTTTGGACCTCTATCGGCTGAAATCAGTTGTTTCCGTAAAGTTATTTACCTATGTAAATAGTTATTTCAATTTAAAAAATAAAAAATAAACTACAATAACCTACGTAGATCATCCAAAAGCTCTTCTTTCAAGAGATTTAAAATAAGATAAAAGGCAACGGATATGACAAGAGAAAATAACACAAAATAATGCCCTTTTGAACTAGATAATTCTTGGAACATGTGAAGGGGTAATGGGGAGCTGAGACAGTCAAAAATAATTACTGGGACTATAAAAGTTGTGCAGTTGTGCATATTTTAAGCAATTTTACTAAAGTAATTTTTCAATATCATAATGTGCAAGCTGAAAACTTGTAGATGTCAGTCCATAGAGTTTCTGTAAACCTGCCAGATGACGTTTTTAAAAAAAGAAAACTTTTGTAGTTGCCCATTTTAGTTTCTCAGTACAGTAAGATGTGCATACATTGGGCTAACTGTTTCTTGGCTGTTGTAAATGTCACAAGATGCAGGATTCTGCAGAAGACCATACAAATAAATAATAATGTTATCAGATCCAAAACCCTTTCCACAAGAATCTTGCCATGAAATGTCGTCTGGTCCAATATCAGCCTGGCTAAAGAATGGACACAAAATATATTTTTTTATCAATAAAAACAGAAATTGTGCATTTAAAATGCACAGCTTACCTCAATAACATCAGTGATAGAAATAGTAGGTAATTATTACTAAAACTTCTCAATTAACAAAAACTGTAAGTCTTTAATCTTTTATTTTTTCCTTGTAACAGAAGGAAATGCCAAATGCACGTATCGCCAATCTCTGAACATCATAGCCTATTTTAACTCTGAATGCCGGTGAACTTTTATTTTAACAGATCTATTGCAAATCTCAACTCTTTCTCTCTGTGCTTCACAGGTGGCTTGTAACCAAGAAGAAAGCCAGCAACACAGTTTAGGCAAAATCTGCAGGGCATTTAATCTGATAGCTCTTTGACATAAATACCAGAAATAATATTTAACTGAAGAGGAACATTAATTTTTCATCACAACTTTCAACAAATTTAGCATTTTTTTCCAGCATTTTCATTACAACGGTCTCACTGTTATTCTGTACTCTGATTTTCTACTTTCTACATATTTTCAGCTTTAAAATTACATTCTCATTCTGTTCCTCCCATTGAAAGATCTTCCACATAAAGTTCAACATTTCACATCAGGGACATTTTAGACACATTTCTTAACCGGTATGCATCTACTTGGCTCACTGAATTCAGTATTTCCAGTCCAAGAATTGACAACACATGAAGCTGTACTGAAATGACAATCGCATGATACATGAGCTTTAACTTGCCCTGATGTAGACCCCGAAAACAAAGCAATTTAAATTAAGACAGTACAAGTAGAATAGGGTTTTTGAGTAGAATGCCACAGAAAAAAATCCAAATGGCTTACCTAGCTGGAAAAGAAAAGTCCAAACGCATGGTGCAACAAATGTTTATGAATAAATGCCAAAACCATGAATTATTGGAAACCATGAATTATGCACTGCCTTCATATATGATGGGTGCAATTAAAAATATATCAAACATTGCACTTACATTGATGGATAAAACAAATTCAATTCAATAAATTCTTGCATTTGGAGAAATCCGATTATCAATCCATTGATTAAAACTATCAAATTTGCAGCCTTGTATTTTCATAATGGAAAGTTTCCATATCCGGCAATACGAAAGCTACACCTGCAATATAAAATCTATTCATTTTGAATTGACTAGAAATTCGGTCTCGTTTCTAACCGTGGTTTAATATTAAAATTCATGTCCAGTAATAGTGCAAGGCAGCCAAGCGAATTCTCCTGCAATATTTCATAATTTTTCTAACTACAGCATTGCATAAGTTGCTTTATAGACATTTGTATTAGGCACCCCAACGATAACAGAGAGGTCCATAGTTATATCAGACTACTGTTAAAAAATAGAGAAAATGAAAGCTTCTGTCAGCCTGACAGATTCAACTTGAAAAATAATAGAATGTTTTGTTCATTATCAGCTTGTCAACTGGGCTTTTCACTGCTTTTATTTTAAGCAATCTCGTAAATGGTTTGAATATTTGTTACTGCAAAATAACCTTCAATATTAGAAACAGATCTGGATGGTATCTGCTCAAGGCAGGTGAACAAAGCCAATACAGTTAGGATTGTAAACAGAATGCAAAATACTACAGATGCTGGAAATCTGAAACAAAAACATAAGTCGCTGGGAACACTCAGCAGGTCAGGCAGCATATATGGAGAAAGGAAAGTGAGTCAACATTTTGGGTCCACGACCCTTCGTCAGAACTGGGGCATGTTGGGAGGGAGAGCCTTTTAAGGATTAACAGAAAGGGGGAAGACAGGGCAAGGAAGACAAAGGAGAAAATAGGATAGAGGAGACAGGGGATGATGGGTTAAAGAGGTGTCAAGCTGCAGGTTATTTAGAACTCTGCAGCTTGTGTACTGTCCCGCACCAGGCTTCGCGACCACATCACTCCCACCCTCGCTCGCCTCCATTGGCTCTCCACCCCCCAGAGGATCAAATTCAAGATCCTCATCCTCACCTACAAGGCCATTCACGGCCTTGCTCCCTCCTACCTCTCCGACCTACTATCCCCCTACTTACCTGTCCGTACTCTCCGTTCCTCTGGCTCCGGTCTGCTCCACATCCCCCGCCCCAACCGCCCTACCATCGGTGGCCGGGCCTTCAGCCTCTCAGCCCCGAGGCGCTGGAACTCCATCCCCCAGTGCCTTCGCCTTGCTTCCTCCCTTTCCTCCTTCAAGGCCGGTCTCAAGACCTTTCTCTTTGACCGTGCCTTCAGCTCCCCTCTCGACTCTCTACCTCCTCCTCGCTCCCTCCCTTCACCCTGACCATTTCCCCCCTGCTTGGGTCCTGACCCAACTGTCCAGCGCCTTGAGACGTCCTCCCGACGTGAAAGGCGCTCTATAAATGAAATCTTCTTGTTGTTGTTAATGATACAAAACAAAGGGAGGAATTGCAACAAAACAGGCAGACCAGAGAGGGAAAAGATGTGTCTGGAACCCAGATGCTGTGGTTATGGTCACAGAAGAGAGGGAAGGGGAAGGTGAGCTGTTATGGTCTGAAATTATTGAAATCAATATTGAGGCTGGAGGCCTGTAAGGTCCCTAGCAGATAAATGAGGTGCTCATCCTCAAGCTTGCGCTGTGGTCCATTGGAACAGCGTAAGATACCATGGATGGAGAGGTCAGAGTGTGAGTGGGAGGGAGAGTTGAAGTGGCAAGAAACCGAAAGCTCAGAATTGTGCTTGCGGACAGAAAGGAGGTGTTAGGCAAATCGGACACCCAATCTGCGTTTAGTCTCCCCAATGTAGATCACGATGTGGTCTCCTCTAAACATTGACTCACTTTCGTCTCTCCATAGATGCTGCCTGAGCTGCTGAGTGTTCCCAGCATCTTATGTTTTTGTTGCAGATTATTGTCCCTTGTTCCACACTTCACACTGGATAGGATTTCTATCCGTTATAATAATAATCCTTGCATTTGATATAGTGCTTTTCACGTCTTCTAGACGTCTCAAAGCACTTCACAGAATATACTCTAAAGTGAATCCAGTAACCGTCCTGGTCAAAGTGACAAATGACATTCTGTCCATCTGCAGCAGAGAGGCCAAGGAGGACGAGGAGGCAGAGGGAGCCCTGGTCGCAGATGGACAGAATGTCATTTGTCACTTTGACCAGAGCGGTAGGATTTGACATGGTCCAGCCAAATCTGCAGGTGGACAGTTAGGTTTGATTTAAGCCAGATGCGCTCAGTGCAATGCGCCTGGGCTTTAAGGGAGCGGAGGTGGCTTGTGTACCAAGGTGATTTGCGTGAGTAGGAGACAGTAGTGAGGGAATCGAGAGTGGAGGAGAGGGAGCTGTGGAGAAGGGAGACTGAGGAGGATAGGTCATTGTAGGAACGAGAGTGGAACAAGTTCAGATGACTCCAAGGCAGCCGAGAGGGAGGTGGGGTGGGAGATTTTTTTCCAGGGACGGTATGAGATGGAGGTGGGTTGGGTGGTGGTGGGGAGAGAGATTGAGGAGTTAAGGGTGATGAAGTGATGGTCTGAGATTGCTTCGTCGATGAAGGTGAGGTCCGAGACAGTGAGTGCCCGAGTGATCACCAGATCGAGGGGCTAGACCGTGGACGTCGGTGGCGGATTGGATGTCGAGTGAGAGACTGAGGGAGGATATAAGGGAGGAAAATTCAGCAGAGGTAGAGGAGGAGGGGATGAAGTGAAGGTTGAAATCGCCAGGCATGAGGAGGCGTTCAGAGCAAAGGGAGAGGGAAGATAGGAGGATGGAGATGTCAGGAATGAAGGTGGTGGAAGGCTTGGGGGGGGCGGTAGATAAAGAGAATTTTGAAGGAAAGATTGGAGGGGTGATCAGAGGGTAAAGTGCTCAAAGGAGGAGAAAGTTCCAGAAGCGTAAGGGGATAGGCCGAGCGGGGCATGGGAGATAAGAGCCACCCTGCCACCCGGCGGTTAGGTCGAGGGGTGCGATGGAAGGTGTAGCCGGGTGGTGTGACCTCAGTCAGGGGGAAGGTGTAGCCTCAGTCAGGGGGAAGTAGCCTGGAGTGATCCTGGTTTCAGTGAGGGCAAGGATGTCGATATGTTCGTCGACAATGAGGTCTTGAGTGGTGTGTGTTTTGTTGGAGAGGGAACGGGACGTTTTGTAGTCCGATGCGGAGGGGACAGTTGGTGGCGGAAAGTGGCGGGCATGGCGGGGGAGGAGGGGACTGATAGGGAGGGTAGGGATGTGGTAGGGAGAGGTTGGCCCCTGTGAATCGGGGACCGGTAAGCCTTGCAGC